TTTTTGAAATGCCATTGACCTGTCAGCCTAAAGCCTATTCCAGCAATTTCCATGAGACCCGAATGTGAGAGGAAGAGCTCGAGGCAGCTCATGTAGCCCTGGGAGATCAGACAATTCCAACAAGTTAAGGTTTAAAATTATTTTCCCTCTGTTTGGCTACTTATTAAGCTATCTCATAATGTTCATTTCAGTAAATATGTATATCAATGCAAAGTAAAAATAGAACAAATATTTCATGCCAAACATACAAAGACAATTAAGACCATCCTAATTTGTCTCTTTAAAGATATTCAGCCAAGATAGGAATGGTGAGAGAAGTTATCAGAAAATCTACTCACTAAAACATTGAGCCAACTGTGATATTACGTGAGTGGAACTGTGTGTCCATTCCAACTCTTCATCGCCCTTCTTTTGTCTCCAGTAAACTTCATCCTCATCAACCTACATTTGAGTTTTCGGGGCACTTATCAGAACCAGTTAGTTGCATAAAATGAAACTGCCGTGGACCTGACAGAGAGTGCTAGGCTCCAAAACTCATAACTCGTTCACAAGGCTGAAGGTTCATAATAGGAAGCTAAACGTTGTACGTTGTGCCTGTAGATTGCTATTGCTGTAACGTAATTAAGCTCTTAACTATCATTATATAATGAATTCATTCTCACACAATAGAAAACAATGGATATAATTAACTATAGAAATGGAGGAAATTTGTAATCTTAACTTAGGCCTATAAAAGTAGCGATAACCCAATGAATATAGACACTCTTTGAAATGAAGAGGTAGTCAATCAAAAGCTGCCAAACTTTATAACAACTTCATATTTTAAAAAAAAATCATTATAAATTAATGAGACCTGCCAATAGCTAAGCACTGAGAAGTGAAAGAAGTAAATTTCTAGGCAGAGAAGCAGACAATACCAAATATCTTTATGATCAGTTGAATCAGTTGAAATATTACATTTACAAAAGATTACTAACAAACACAGATTAAGCTAACAGGCATATTTATTAGCCTTGCAATAGCAACACTGATCAAAATTAGAGAGAGAAAAAAGGAGGGGTGGGAAAGATTACTCTGTGAAGAGAAGAGCAAGAAGGAAAGCATTGTCGACGCTTCCTTAATCTCATGAGGGGACCAAAAATAAAAGATTAGATTCTTACATTCTTTTTAACCGAAAGCAAAAGGAGGAGAAATGAAAAAAAAAAAACCAAAAAAAGAAAAAGAAAAAAAAAAGAACGGGGGGTCCAAAAAGGATTGAAGAAATGGGTAGCAAATGATTGCAGTGAACTCATGCTCCAACCCATTCCCCTCTCATTATTCAACCCCTCATCATTCCATCTCTCTGAAAGAGAGAGGGAGTCAAGTAATAGAATAATGACACTAATACAAAGATACCCAGAAGATGAAAAGATGTAAACTTTTTGTTGAGAGCAAAACATTAAGAGCGCAATCAAAGGTCACTTTTTGCATAACTTTATACTGTAAGAAAGTTTTTTTGTATCCCAAAAGGAGAAATACTAGATAAAGGTTGTAATGCAAAAGAAAGAAACGTAAAGAGAAAAAGTCGTAAAAGCTAACACCCTATGTCTCTTCTCTGCAAACATTGACATGCAAGACAAAACTCACGCCCCCACAAACGCACGCATAAGGAATAAAGAAACAAGAGTAAAACTTTTACCCCGAAAGGGTTTTCTCTACCTGTTGTTATTGCATGTGTTGAGAACAAATGTTGGTGATTGTTTCGTTGAGGGACCCGATAGGGCAAAAGGGTGGGGCCAGAACTGGTTGAGAAACGAAGAGGAAGAGGAAGAGAGGGTGAAGAATGGCCGCATGTTAGTTGTCAGATAGAATTTGCATAGAAACCATCGTCGGTTCGTTGGGGGGCCGAAGTTGGGAAGCAGTCGTCTGTTATTTTTGTCTCTCTTTGCCTAATATGGGCATGCCAATTGAAGCCAGTCGGTTCCCTGATTACTTGCCTTCATCGTAGCAGTCGGCTGTGTAATTTACATGTATAATATTTTGTTTTAATGTCTCTGACCCTCTGGTTTCTTATGCTCTAGCCTTGCCTAACTTGGCTTCAATCAATACTCTTTGAAACATCATGATGGATCGGAAGGATAGTTGGATAGCGGTAAGTACGTAGGCGTACTACTACAAGGTATCAAACCACCAAGGGAGATCCAATCTATTCAGCCTAAAAATTTCTAAGACATTTTACTCTAATATTTGTATTTAAATTATTTACGGTTTCCTGCTCAAACGATTTTTATTACCGTAGAACAAAAAATAGAACTAAATATAGCAAAAGTCCAACCAAAGCATCAAATCATGAACGAACGTGTTAAACCTTATAGTTATGTAAAATTACTAGGTGATGCCGGAAGAAGGTACTTCCTTAATTCTAATTTTCCAAGATGAATATGCTTTATCTAAGCTCTTACATTTTACTTAAAAAAGAAAATCATATAAATTGAGCAATACAAGTGTTCATAGGTAACCTTAAATTTGATTGATACTTTTAAAAATTAGATACATCTCATATTTAGGTTTAACTCATTTAAATAAAATTTATTATTAAAATTATTTTTATATCAATATTTAAATATATTTTCAAATTAAAATTAAAAAAATTATTTTCTATTACTATAATAATATCTCAAATTAGATCTGAATTTAAAAATCTTGTTTGGTGCCCGCTCAAGTCTCACCCAGTCCACAAGCCTTGCAGGTCACTCGGCTCGGGAGTAGGTTTACTGAGCAGGCAACAGCATTGGCCCATTGTCCTAACCCATTAAGCTCATTCAATTCATTGGGCCTGTCACAAACGTGGGCCCAAATTTCTTTATCAATTTTTTTAACAATAATTTAAGAAGAAAAATCAAGCTTTAAACCTTCTTCAACCGTAAAAGCGAATCGTGTTAGTTATAGTTGGATCCGACTACTGATTTTGGAAACTAGAGCAGAAATTGCTTATTGCACTAAAGCTTTGAAAGTTTATTGGGAATGTTAGAAGAAGAGAATTCTTGTATTATATAAAATCGTGCATAATATATAAGTGAATGAGATATTTATATATAGGTATGATATTTAAAAAAAAGCTATTGAATTATTCAAAAAAATTTAAATAAAATTTTATTTTGTCATTATGTTCAATTAAATTTTAGCATTTTTTATTTTTAAACAAATAAATTTTAATAATCAACTATTAACTAGTTGTTATTAGTTAAAATATCATTTGTTGTTTTGTATCATATGACATTGACATAGTATGCTAACATATTATAATAGATAACGACATGGCATGTTGATGTGGTATGATGATATGATTTTTACCTTTCATGTTAACACTTTATCAACACTATTTAGGAATAAAATGTCTAGTAATATTTTGACTAATTGTAGTTAATTAACCATTAGTCATAAAAATTTATTATTTGATTCAAAATAAAAGTATGAGAACTTGATTAAATGAAACAAAAAAAAAACTTATTTGAATTCTTTTGAATCGTTCAGAGACTTTTTCAAATATGATGCCTTATATATATATAAAGCTAACCCTATTCATAGTCTAACTCTAACTAATTAATATTATTGTAGTATAACTCTTAACTAGATATTATATTCTAACTAAGTAATCGTAGTGTATTATAACTTTAACTAAATAATTTGTATAATTATCTCACACTCTCCCTCAAACTCAAAGTGGTTTGATACAAGCCAACTTGAGTTTGAAAACTAAATATTGAAATCAACTAGTAAGATGAGTCTTGAAAGATGATAGCGATCTAGTTTAAAGAGATCATAGAAGCAAGACAAATAGTCCCTGAATTACATGATGATGCAAAAAATGATGATCAAAATTAATATGCTTACTACGCTCATGAAACACAACATTGTGAGCGATCTAGATAACACTATGGTTATCCTAGTGAAGGACAATGGCAAAAGTTTAGGTAATGCCCATATTCTTTAGCAATTAACAAAGTCAAAGTCACTCTAAAGTAGTATCTATAAGAGCACGATATTCAGATTAAGTGCTACAACGAGCTGTTACAATTTGCATCTTGTTTCACCAAGAAATGAGATAATCACCCAAAAAGAACACAATAACCCATAGTCGAGCGACGATTTATAAAATCACCTACATAATAAGATAAAATTAAAGAAGAATGTGCAAAGAAGTGAAGTCCATGAAAGAGTGTGTCTTTGATATAGCATAAAATACACATAATAGTTAAAAAATGAGATGACCAATAAGATGATCGAGGAGCAGCAATAAACTGGCTAACTAAATGAACAAAATAAGCAATACTAGGTCGAGTCACTATGAGATAGACCAAACTACCAACCAGTTAACAATATAAAATAGGATCAATAAAAAGAGTACCATCTATCGAAGTTATTTAGTAGTATGTTTCAAAGGAATGCAGATGCATACTTATATAGTTTGAAAAAGATAGTAACCATCAGAGGTGGAAAAGACTTCAAACCCTAAGAAAGAACTAAAAAGAGTGATCTTTCTTTTCAAAATGTTGACTAAGTTACTATTGTAATTTTATGATAGAATTCTTATCAACTCTCGTTATAATCATCCATAGAGAAGAAGAAGAATAATGTCATAATCAATATGTCAAATAAATAATGCAAAATCATGAGGGCTAGAAGTAAAATCAAACTGGGCAATAGTGGAATTGAATTTTGCAAACCAAGCTCTTGGTGCTTGTTTTGACCATATAAAACTCTTGTAGACTTTATAAAGATGAGAGTAACCAGACGGAGGTAACATGTACACATTTTCTGGTAAAATATGTTTGAGAAATGCATTCTTGACATTCATTTGAAGAAGCGTTCAAAGTTTGACAATAGCAATGATTAAAATACTGCCCATAGAGATTATACAGGCCTTAAGAGCAAAGGTTTTTTCATAATCTATTCCATATTCTTGAGTATAACCTTTGGCCATTAAGTGTGCTTTATAACATTCAATAGAACCATCTAAGTAGGTTTTGATTTTATGAACCCATCTACTACCAATAACAATCTTAAATGGAGGCAGATCGACTAAATTCCAAATATGAGTTTCTCAAGAGCTTGGAGCTTATCATTCATATCTTGTTGGCAATGAGGGTCAATACTAACCTCACAAAAAGATCGAAGCTCATGCAAGGTTACAATAGTAAAAAAATAATGATAATCATGGAGATGATAAGACTTGTATTACAGCATTGCAATAGTATCTTAGTCAACTTTTTGAATTGTAGGATTTTGGTTCTCTTATTATTTTTAGTTATCTTACCAAAGTGATACTCTTTTATGACTTATGAGCATACTATTTTCCAATGAAATTTATTATTATTATTATTATTATTATTATTATCTTCTTATATCAGTTGGGTTTAAACTTTGTTATGATTTCGTTGTTAAGAATAAAAGAAAACTAATAGAATCTCAGCACTTTATTAATGAAGGGCTTTTCCCTCTTTCCTTCGTCTAATAAAGTTAGTACATCATCTACAGAACTTTCCAAATTATAGCAATCGTCGTGGCAGTAGTAGTCAAATTAATTACCCCAAAGTGGATATAAAAGAATCAAAATAAAATTATACACTATTGATTACAGAAAGAGGTGCCAAAGCCTACATTCCAAGGTAAAATTGGACAAGGCCGCTAAAAAAACAAGATGGACAACCTATATCTTTGATAAAAAAAGATGAAAGGAGTTGAAGTAATTTCATGGAACTGGATAAGACTTGTCGTTGCACATGCACTTGTAAGCCATAGGACATGTTTCAGCCTCTTCCAACGATGCACACACAAAGCTTACCATAACTAGTCTGCAAGGTGTGCACGAGCCACATGCATGTGAGCAGTCAGGCAAGCTTGATCCTGCAATCTGTAATGTGTCTGACCCCTTTCTTTCCATCACTGGCCTTGTTCTTTCCCAGTATGAATTGGGTTTTGCAGACTACCCTTCTCTTGTACTTGGCTGAGATTCATGGGGCTGGCTGTGATCTGTTTTCATAATACAAAATGTTAACGAATTGAAACAAGAGAGTGTTTTCATGTGTCTTAGTAGAATTAAGAAAATTTTGAATAGAAAATGATACGTACGTATTTGTAGCCGCCTTACATGCCTTGCAGACGTGACAACAACAGGAACACAGCAGAGAATAATGGCAATTGAAGCAACACAAACACAACGCTTCATGGCTTCAATCTTAATTTCTTATTTCGGCTGTTGGCCTCAATGCGCTTAGGCAAGTAAAGAGTAAACTGAAAGCGGTGGCTGAGGGTGAGGAAAACAGTGATGTGGATGAACATATTTGAAGGGTGGCGAATAGAGAATGGTATTGAAGCAAATCACAGGCAAAAGTATGTAAGATGGAGAACGATAAGAAAAGGTCACATGAAAGAGGATGCGGGGAAGGGAGAGATTGCTCACGAAGGGTCACAGGACACTTCAAGCTAGCCTTTGGTTGCATTATCGAAGCAGGGTGATAAAGAGTAAGTTGGCAGCAATTATACTGAATTCAAGTGCTTCTTTTTACGTGAATTTTGACTCGGGAATTCGCTTGGCATACTTGGAACAATAAATGAATGCTGTGAAGGTTTGAGAAATTCTTTTATAGCTAGTTACTTTTGTATAGGGTAAACTGATATAAGAGCTAATAAATTTGGCACTGAGGGTCTAATGTGACATCCATTAATGTTTTCTGCCTCTGTTATACCGTTCATGGACTCCATGAGCTCGGAATTGGACCACTTCTTTGTTGGTCGCAGACTCCTAGTGACCGTAATCCATACAACTTTGTTTTAGACCAATCTTGAGCATAACCCAGATGCCAAGTGGGCCTACGAGGCTTGACAGAAGACCCTCTGGCATCTGTTCAAAGGTCCAGCCAATGTAGTAGAGCGTCAGGGCTCGGGCCGCTCTCCTGGAGATGGTAAACTAACAACTAACTAAATTCCCAGAAGTGGCTATAGCAACAAAAGAAAAAGTTGTGCTGGTGATTCTCTGGAGTTTTCCCTTTTATTCATTCATTTTGGGACTCAATAAAGAATAGTTCTATTGATCGACTATTGTATTATTATTGAGTTGGAAATTGACATACGGCATGCTCATGGATAAATTATTAATAGCTCCAAATCCAATAACCAATTTGACATAAGAGCTGACAATCAACATGAATGCGTCGAATGTACAAGGGAAAAAAACGAAGATCGTACATGTGAAAATTATGACGATTGGACAGCTAAAAATATGTGTCCATCCCAGCAATTGCAATACGGCACACAAACTTTTAACAAGCAAACAGTGATGTAATAGGTCTTGATTTATTTAATAATTCTCGCTCCCTCGATCCCATCGATGGCATCTTTTTTTATACTTTACACATTTCCTGGGTCTATAGTCTTTTCCGATGGAAAGTTGCACCAACTAACCCAGAAACTGAAGTTATGACAACGAGTGAACCCTTGGACTGATTTCCCCGGTCAAAAAATTGGACCAGGCTGCCCCGCCTAGAGTAAGAAAACTTAAAAAATTAATGGGATATACATATATATATATATATATATATAGATATCTAGGTCAAAGAGAAATTTTAGCCTCATAGAAATTAGAGGGTAACATGTGATCATCATTGATTTTGTCACATATATCTTTTTGTTACGAATTTTTTAACATTATATATAGCAAGTATCCTATAGGAAAATTTTTAAAGCATGTATTCATGGTTTTATTATTATTTTTTGTTATGAATAGACTTACAATTATCTCAACTTGGATGTAAATGTTGAATTTATTTGTTAGACCCTAACTAAAAAAGCGTTTTGAGCTCCACTTAATATACCTCCAGGTTAGGTGAGATATATTTGGGAATTTCTTAATTCATAGTAATTCAAGTTTTAGGAGTTTCAAGAATGTTAGAAGTTGATTAATTAACAAAACGACAACATTAGAGATGGTTAAGAATGTGACTAAATAATTTCACAAGAAATATATGTATGACTAATTAAGCAGGTATATCCATAGTTTTTAGAAATATAATATATCTATAAACTTGATTTCCTTAATGGTTGACTCTGTTTATTTTACTTAGAGCTGATTCACACGCATCTACAAAATTAAAAATAATAATAATAATAAATGAATAAGAATGCCAACATGTGATCCACATGAAGCATGATTGCCTTTTTCCTTTTTATTTTTTCCCTTGTAAAATATAGGATCAGTATTTGTATAACGAAAAATCTCTCTGGAAGTTTATACATAAAACGCAAAACCATCTCACTTTATTTGTATAATAAAAAATATCTGCCGAGGGAAGGAGCACGTTGAATCCCAACCTCTGATTCTTGATTACTTCTCTTTAGAAGCCAACCTTTTTCCTTGGGAATCTTTTAACTCAACTTGGTTTAGATAGATCCTGACCGACCCATTTTAAAGCATATGCCACGTGTAGTAACATGAGGTAATACATTCCTTGATTTGAGCATACTGAATGCTCTGGTCAGTTGACTGGCTGTACAAATCTAAACAGTTCATAGCCGCCCTCTCTAGTGTCAAAGGTTGATTTCAACAAGTTTATTTGCGTCAAATTAAAATGTGAATTGAAAGCCGCCCTTTTCTATATATAACAAATACCCCCAAGATTAATCATCTTTTATACACTATCTCGCAGAGTTTCTAGTTCGGTAGCCATGACCACTCTTGTCCGGAATACCACATCAAATTTTAGCCGTAGAGTTGATGGCTACGAGCTCTTGGACCAAAACAGCCAAAGAAGAGAAGAAAATATTGGTCTGAGGACGTTTTCCAAGAGAGAAGCTCAGAGCGTGGTGGCTTCCTTCAATTCCAGGCGAGATCGAGCAGAGAAAAGGCTAATTTTCCTCAGATCATACAAGTTATCAGTAGTGGATGGCAACAGGGAACAGCCAAAGTCAAAGTCACGGAAACTAAAGAAGATGGTGGTTAAGGTTAAGACAGTTGTGGTATCAGTAATGTCGTTTATGCATATTGGTTCCTTAAAATCTTGTAATTGTCGATCAGCAATCTGTGCAGCTGCTCCTATCTCAATTAAGAAGTGTTGTTGAATGTTTATGGAGTTAATTTGGTTTCGGGAAGCCATATTTTTCTCTTTTTAATGTTCTCTGAGATGATGGGTGAATAAGAGCAACAATTATTTACTCAAGAGTTGCATTTTAGCACAGGCTGAGGCTGAGGCTGGGAGAGGTCCAGCGATTGTTTTTTGACTTTCTTATCTGTCTGCAGTTAAATGCATGGTTAACATTTTTCTTGGTTGGGTTATACAATCTCCTAAAATAACTCTATTCCGTCCATCTACCCACCGTCATGTCTAAATAATCAGACCTAAATTTAACAGATCAGATTTCTCTTAAAGATTGAAATATCATTTGGCCAAAAGGTGCTTGTACGTTGAACTGTATTGCTTTACTTGGGTACATATGTTTTGCCAATGTTGAAGCGAAAATCATCATGTTATTCAATCGAATCATGTCTTACACCTAATTTCCCAAAAGAAAGGGGGAACATCAGCCAAAATCATTTAAAAAAGAAAAAAGAAAGAAATCAACTATGGTAGTACTTATAATCTAATGTATGTACCCAATCCTTGACAATCCCAAGGTTTCAACAAAACGTTCACTCAGTCCCAGTGAAAAATTTGTGCTCTTGGGATCTTCCAGAATTAGTATCTATCAGCTTGTTTTGGTTGACAGAAGTACATCTTGTAGAGAAGTTTTTCAATGGAGGGAATTAATCATTTTAGTCCTGATATATAAATATCAACAGCAACCTCAAATGGTTGGTGTCCAAAATAGACAAACAGAAGGCAACATTTGAATTTAGTTGACGTCCACAAAACCCGGTTTAAGTAACGGCAGAGCCAGTTCTCGTTTCTCCACATCCACCCATTATGAAACAATGTCCTAAACCAAGGGAGCCAACTCAAGCAAATTCCCTCACCTCCTCCTCCATTTTCTTTCCAGATTTCACCATAGAAGAAGAAGAAGAAGAGTCTCTATCTCTTCTTCTCTTTCTATACGGACTATGCCCACCAAAAGGCTGATCAGTGGGATAGTCAACCGCACACCATGGACTCTGGACCCCCTTATCCACCAAAATATGTCATGCTCAATGATCAAGGGAACTTTAGGCCCCCTCCCCATAGACGCAACATTCCCCGCTACCATTCACATAATCGTAGTTCTGGAGGGAAATGTTGCCTAAAGTGTATATGTTGTTGCTATTGCTTCCTTTTTATCTTGATTCTTGTTCTTCTTGGCACCGCCTTCCTTCTTTTTACAGTTTATAAACCCCAAAAGCCTTCCTATAATGTTAATCAGGTGGGGGTCAAGACTTTCAATGTCCAGCAGTCGGATCTTAGCCTCTACACAGAATTCTCTGTTTCTGTAAAGGCAGATAATCCCAATCATCTTATAGGCTTCATTTATGGGAAGGAAAGCTCTGTTGCTGTTTTATACACAGGAAAAACTCTTTGTTCAGGCAAGCTCCCAGCTTTTCATCAACCGGGAAACAACATTACCGTGATGAATATTCTGATGAAAGGAAAGAACGAGTTTGGTTCAGGTCTTCAAGAAAGTCTCCTTCAAAACCAGAAGAAGGGGAAAATCCCTTTACTCATTATGGTAAAGGCGCCTGTAAGCGTTGTGATTGCAGGTTTCCCGCTTAGGCAGGTGGTTGTTTTTGTTAACTGCTCTTTAGTTGTTGACAATCTGTCGCCAAACCACAAAATTGGGATTTTGTCAAGTAAATACACTTATGACATTGGCTTGTGAGTGCCATATCTATTTCTTCCTCTCAGTCTTTATTTAGACCTGACTCTTTCAAGCTGGATGGGACAAGAAGAAGATTAGCACGAGAAAGCAATGCCATTTGCTCGGTTCATGCAACATTCCAGTTTACCTTTTTCCCACGATGCATATGCTTCCAAGAAACACTTGCAGAGAATTACAGACGTAGATATTTTTGTCACATAGGCTTTTTTGTAATTGGCTTTGAAGGTGTAATGAGATTTGTTTATCCTCCAATCTCAACTTCTTGAAATCTGAAATTAATTAATATACTCTGAAAATTATTACATTAATGTCATGTCCATGAAGAGAACTGCATATGATAAGCTTGGCTTTGTTTGTAGTTTTTTTATATATATTGAGGATAAAGCAACTAAGTTATATCATTCTAAGTCGTTAAACATCCCAAATGTCTGCAAGTAAGAAATACTTAATACCTTTTAGTGGAGAGTCAAATAAGTGTAACCCCAAAGAAAGGTTTCCATGATGTGTGGCCATTCAATAGGTGCATTGGTCGGCCTCACTGCGTATGTGAGATAATGTACAATCCCAATTCCGACTGAGAAGTTCCTTGATTCCTCTCAACAGATAAGCATTAGGATTTGATGAAGATATATGCTAAGATCATTTTTGCAATGCTATCAATGAATCCGATTCAACCAGAACATTTCTGAAGCCTCTATTCCAACACAAGATGAGTCCCTGATAAAGAGCCTATAATTCAGCTGTAAGAGAGAATGAGATACCAATTTTATATGTAAAATCCACAAACCAGTTGCCATAGTTATCTCTTATTACTCCCCCTGCTGCTGCCATGCCAAGTTGACCCTTGGCATTACCATCCACGTTCAACTTTACATATGAATGCTTGGGTTTCTCCCATGCAATCAAATATTCCTGTTTTAGCTATAACTGCTCTATATGCAAGATTTCCCATGCCTCTTTTGATTTTGTCCATATCTGTTGCCAAGCATTGTTTGGCCAAATGAATTCCTTATAGAAAATACTCAAGTTCTGCTAATACAACAACAACCATAATGAATGAACAACTATAGTGCCCCAATATAAATTATCCAGATATGAAGTGCTCGTCATATTCTCTATAATCCATTCCTGCAAGTTAAGATTAAAGAAATCCTCATCCACTAACTTTGGTCTTATTTGGATCCACAAGTCTCTTACTTGGTTACAATTAGGAGGGCATGGTGAATAAGTTTTTCTGAGGTCCCACACCGTTTGCACAATGTCGAGTGACCTATCCTTCTGTGAAAAAGCCAACATGATGTTGGCAAAGACTCATGTAAAATCTGCCACAATAGCACACGAATCTTCCTTGAACTCTTGATTCTCCATAACTTCTGCCAAAACCACTCCCTTATAGAAATAACATTCAATTGAGTTATATAAGCAGACTTAATTGAGCAATTGAGGTATCGATATCTTTCAATCCATCAAACACCACAAGATTAATAATACGAGCAATGAATCTCATATGATAAAATCTATTTCTTAATGTACTAATTCTGACAACATTAAATTTTTTCTTCAAATGTACCATTGCAACGTCATTTCAACCAGCATTATCAATAATAATAGAAAAAATCTTTTAAATCTCTCAATCAAGCAAACATTTACTAATTTGTCTTCCCATGGCTTCGCCTTTGTGACTAGTAATGGGACAAAAGGTCAAAATCCTTATTCACAACTTTCAATCATTATCAATAAAATAGGTAATTAGCCACATAATTAATTCTTTGTACCAAAGTCTATGTGTGAGTAGTGAGACACATTCTACTAAGATATGATCTTAATAATCTTCTCTTCCGAGTTTTTTTATCAGTATAAATATTATAATAATCTCTAGCAACAGTCCATTATGACGATACATGAAATTTATTACATGCTTTGTTTATGTGTTTCTTATATCCTTGATTTCTATAAACCTAAAAAGCAATTCATCTAAAATGATCATCTCGCTTAAAATCCTCCTAATTTCCCCTTGATCAAGCTTCCAACTACACAACCCATCTCCAACAAAAGCAAAAACTAACTCCATTTTCTTGTTCTCGTCACTAGCATAGTTCAATTTCAACTTCGGACAAACTCTAATATGATTATTCAATAAAAATGTTCCATTTTATTTTTGTATCAACACACAATTCTTTACCGAAATAAATACATTTAGCCTTGTTATTTTCTTTCTTATCAGTAAATTTAATGAAGTGATCCCACACAACATATGTAGACTAAAGTGGTTCCCTTTGCTTTCGTACTTTGCTTATAACTTCATATTTTTGGTTGGCTTCAGTAGAACAAACACCAACATGAGGTGTAGATATTGATTGTGTTAGTGTTGATGTCTCACTAGTTGCCAAATTTATTTCCTCATTAGTTGACATCTACAACAAAAAATAATACCCAAATATTAATTCTAATTATTAATTCTAGCATATTGTCAATCATTTTAATTGAATACCCAAACATTAACTGCACATTCAGTTCGTGGAATAGATAAGAATGGAATAGAATAGCTATTTTGTAAAAATAGAATAAGGTGAGAATATAATAGAATAGTTATTGCGTGGTTTGGTACAACGAATGAAATAAAGCAAGAATAACTGTTAAGACTTATTGTAGTATTTGGTTAGTAAAACTAATTATAGAATAAGAAAGAAATAAAAGATAAAAAGATAAAAATACTCTTTGTAACATATATTATTATTTATTTTTATTTTATTTTTAAATATTAATATTTTATTTATAATTTAATTATTACATTATAAAATATCAATAATTTATTAATAATTTAAATGTTATTCTGATTATTTATTATTTTATTTTATTTTATTTTTGAATATTTATAATATTAATTTATTTAAAATATGAATAATTGATAATTTAAATATTAATAGTGTATTTATAATTTAATCATTAATATTTTCAAATATTAATATTTTATTTATAATTTCAAAGTTATTATGATTATTTATTTTTATTTTATATTTTAAATATTAATAAGTTATATTTATTTAAAATATGAATAATTGATCATTTAAATATTAATAGTGTATTTATAATTTAATCATCAATATTTTCAAATATTAACATTTTGTTTATAATTTCAAAGTTATTATGATTATTTATTTTTATTTTATTTTTAATATTAATAATTTATATTTATTTAAATATTAATAATTGATCATTTAAATATTTATAGTTTATTTAAAATTTAATCATCAACATTATAAAATAATAATATTTTATTTATGATTAAAATGTTATTATGATTTTTTATTTTTATTTTATTTTATTTTTAATATTAATAGTTGATAATTTAAATATTAATATTTTATTTATAATTTAATCATTAATTTTTTAAATAGTAATATTTTCTTTATGATTTAAATGTTATTATGATTATTTATTTTTATTTTAGTTTATTTTTGAGATATTAATATTTATAATTTGTTTATAATATTAATAATTTATCATTTAAATATTAATAATTTTATTTGTAATTTAATAATTAATTTTATAAATGCTAATATTTTATTTATAATTTAAATGCTATTAGGATTATTTATTTTCATTTTATTTTATTTTTTAAATATGAATAATTTATAATTTATTTAAAATATTAATAATTGATCATTTAAACATTAATATTTTAATAATATTTTAATAATTAACATTATAAAATACTAATATTTTATTTATAATTTCAATGTTATTATGATTATTTATTTATATTTTATTTTTAAAATATGAATAATTTATAATTTAGTTAAAATATTAATAATTGATCACTTAAATATTAATATTTTATTTACACATAAGCATTTGGCTCATTGATTGGTGCATTATCTCTCTACTTAAAAAGTAAGGTTCAAATCCATTTCTTCTAATTATAAAATATATATATTAATATTTTATTTATAATTTAATCATTAATATTTTTAAATATTAATATTTTATTTAATAATTATTAATATGGGTAGGATTGTAATTTTCTAAACTTATGAGGGTTAAATTAGGCTTAACAATTCTTGAAGCTATTCCATCAAACGTGGAATAGCTAGTGCCATGGGAGAGGATTGGTTTAGTTAAACGTGACTTTTAACTGATTTTAAAAAATAGCTATTCTTTGGGAATAGCTATTCCTTAATACAATTACCAATCAAACATGGAAAAAAGTATCACGTGGGAATGAAGGGGGAATAGCTTAGCTATTCCCCATACGAAATGTGCAATAACTCTTTGAAATGTTCAATGTTAAGTAAGGTTCTTGTATCAGGCCATAAAGGTTGAAGTAAAAACATAAAGTCTAGATAAACTCTTTCTATGTATAATATATTTTTCTTTAAGAATTGGTTCTCTTTGTTATACAGATTTGCCTATAATTTATATTTTATTTAAAAATAGTGGATCACAATCATTTAACACCTATTGCTTCATTTGTGCTGGTTTATGAGCAATATAACGATACCTCATATTTCCCAAAATATTAACCAAATATCTCTACTGTGAATGAGTTGTTACTCAATCATCTAAACTAGAGGATTTCAAGCATCAACACTTTAAAACATTTGTCATACTACTGTAGCAATTGTGGTTTTACTAGTTTGTAAGTTTTTGTACTCAAAATAGTTGAATACGGTCTTATTTTTAGCATATATTTTCAGCTATTAAATTAGTAGCGAGCATTATGGTTGAGAAAAAAAATTAATTCTCAAACATTAAAAACCAAACATATCATTGGGTAACTGTTGAGAGTGATTGCGCGTTGCAATAGAGATTAGAGGAATCAGACGAACGGTGGCTGCTATTTGGCATGACGTTGACGACGGCAAACGGTGCCAGTCAGGTGGTGACATGCAAGGGGGATACTGATTAGGGGAGTTATGGTACAACAAAGAGGGAGGGAAATCTAAATTGGGGGAATCTATCCGAGGAGAGGTTGGGGGGAAAATTTGGGGGACAGGGTTTGATAAAAGGACAACAGGTATTTCAAACCCTTAAAATTATATATATATATATATATATGTTGATAATCGATTTTTCAATTGGTTTGGGTAAAAGGGAGTCCCCTCAACAACCGAATTGATCGATCAACGAGGTTGATAGGAGAAACCATCGATTGCAACAATTGGCGATTTCGATTGGTTGCCAGTTGCTTGGTTGCAACCGACCAATGCATAGGGCCACTGGCGAGGATAGCAAGATTCTAGGTAGATTTTAAAGAAAGAGAAAAGGAGAGGAAGAAGAAAATAGGAAGCCTTATACAACCTCCTCAAAACTACCTCAATTTTTAAGAAGAGTGAGAGGACAAAAAAGAAAGAGAAAATATCACATCATAAAAAACACTAACTGATATTAAGTCTAACAATGGTTAATTTTCTTTTATGGATAAGAGCTTGTTTGGTTCAAATAAACAATTTAAGGATTTACTTGAATATACAAAGTGAGAGGCTTAATTAAATAAACGAGTATAGCACATGGGCTTTTTTAAGGTTTAAAACTTAGATCAATAAATAATTATTTATTATTTTATTTTACTTTAATAAGGACTTCCATTTTAAAAGGAAATAGTCATTCATTTAGTTAGTATTTTTTTTTTTCAAATGAGAAATTCAATCTTACTATGAAAATGGATAAACAATCAATAATTTTTTAATTATCAATGAAAGACAAAATAATTTCAAAATATTTTTAGATTTCATGCTTGTATATATAGTAATGACAAAGATAATTATAACGGCAATGATAGAATAAAGATAAAAATAATAATATCTTGGATGTTACTTTCAGCAATGAAAGAGAGTGGGATGAAAGAAGCGCTAACATTAAAAGGTGCTACGTATTTAACCACAATTTTGAAGCATTATCTTATCTATCTAATACTTGGAATAGCATAATTCCTTCATTCCCAAAGTTAGCAAGTTAGAGATGTTTGTGCACAAAGAGTGGTAAGCATTGCTGGCTTCGCAGCAAGATGAGCAAAAAGGAAGAATGATGCTTGACTCTAAGACATCACTTCTTGGACCCACAGCAGCTTTGCCTAGATGCCTATTTTGCTCAGATGCCAAATGTTAAATCCATGCGCATGGCAATGTGCATCCAAAACATCTACATGCCTAGTTTACACGTGCAAACTATCATAAACATCTCCACACCCACATAATGTGCCCCCCACTTGCACAACTTTGGGACCCCTTCCTGATCATACACTACACACACACAAAATTGAGTTAAGAATAATCTAACCCTGTAAACAAATATGTGGGGGCTCATTCACAGTGAACTGATTATAACACATGCCCTTTCGCCTTTTGGTGGGCAAGAAAAAGCAGTATTATAAAACGATGATAAGGATCAGAAAGTCAGCTTTGGCCCTTAGGGTCACCATCATCATCCTCTAATCTTTCCTCCATGCTTAAGCAATGACCCCACATCCCTTCTACACAACATTTTCATGCCTTGCCGGCATCAGTTGGTCACCAGCAGAAACATAAGCTTATTGCATAGTTTATCATTTTAAGATGGTGGGTTCGATTACCTATTTCTTTGACTGCTGTACTGGTGCTAACAACCACAACCACAACCACGACCACGACCACGCAGTCTTTTGGTTCCTTGAATCCCTTAATGTTTTGTTCCTTTTTCTACTTTGAACTTTGTCTGACAAGAATGAGAGCTGGGTAAGTGGGAGGCGAACTGGGTCAGTGCGTGTGAATTAAGGTTTCAGTTTTAACCCATGTTTATACAGAATGATGACATGTGAGCTTCGGGGACAAAATTTGTTTACCTGTCTTTACTGATCTTGGCAGCTTTACTTCTCCTTGTTAGGACCAATCAGATTAGAGGATTGAGGATTAGGCTTAATTGTTCCTCAAAATGGTTAACTAATTCTAGCCACTTAAAATGCCATTAGTCCACCAACCGAAGTTCTCAAGTATAGACCAATTGAATACTATAAAGTACAAAGTACATAAATGTGCGTTATTCTGAGGAACTTCATCTGAGGCATTTCGATTTTTTTTTTTTTTAACATTTTGTTGAAGTTCGGATATTAAAGTTAATATAAATTCCATTATAAAAAGAAAAGGAAGAAAAATAATGAACACCTTTTCTTTTTCATGGGTTTATATATGATTCGTCTGTCTCCCATTGTCCACGGCTTTATCAAAACGCCAATTATTAATTGGCAGGTTAGGTGCCTTATTGAAATATCTTTAGAAGGTGAAATTTCAGTATAAATTTAATGATCAAATTGTGAATAATTGTCCATGAAAATTGACTTACACGATTGTTAAAGGTAGCATCAAATTGTATCCTTTTGTTTTGGATGGAAAAAGTCAAGATTATTTAAGTGTTCGTTTAGAAATAACCCGGCCTTAGAGTAATCTTCAAAGCATTTACACTATGGTCTGTTTCAATTGGAGGAAAACATTCCGGATGTCAACGTCATTGATGGCTACACCCAAATAAACCAAGCTCAGAAGGCTTCCAATTCAGCATCAATAAAACAGCGGTACTGTAAATCAGACGAGTGACTAAATAACTGAAAGATAAACAACGCCAGTAAGCAAAATTCCTCTCATTTTCCTCGCTTGTATATGAGGGATAACGCTGTCTTGCCAAGTGTCCTGATAAACGGAGTGGTGGGAGCAGTTTTTCCAGGAGACTACAACCGTCTGCTGCCACTTTCTTCATTTTTCAAACCCACTCCTCCAAAATATATCACCAACCAAAAGGAAGCCCAACTGTCTTGCCCTCTTCCCTCTGTTGCTCTCAACTCTTATTCCCCACACAAAGGATGATACCATGTTCGAGTTCTATCTAATCCTGCTGAATCATGAATCTGAAACTCAAGCTTTTGGTTTTTAGTGGCCGCACTCTTGAAGCTAGAAGAACCCAATAGGCTTTGAAGCATGTTTGACATCTTTTTTGGTTGGCGAAAAGCCTCAAAATGGTACTGAGTCAAGGGTCTTGAAGAAAAGGCTAGCTTGAAATGCTGTTTATACTTACTTTTTGTCTTATGAGGTTTGTATGTGTTTTGTTCCAGTAAAAAGCTGATCAAGCGCGTTCAGTGCCGTCTGAAACTGCTAAAGAACAAAAGATATACAATTGTGAGACAGCTGCGGGAGGACCTGGCTCAGCTCATCAAACTTGGCTATGAAGAAAGTGCCTTTAACCGGGTAGGAAGGAAATTGAAAATCTTCTTATTGAATTCTACGCTCTGTAATTTACTCAAAGTCTACCCTGCTGTTTCCCCTGCTTTCTGTGGTTCTTCTAGTAGTCATACAAAGCAATGAGCTTTCAGTAGTTAATCGATGCTGTTGGTTGCTCTTCTTCATGCTGTTTGCATAACTTTGATATTAAATATGGTATTGACTTAAAAAACAAGCCCTTGTTCGACATTGAATTCGATAAGATACATTTTCTTGGAAGCATTTTTCTTTATAGTACTTACCGCAGCTGAAGATTTCTGACTTGAGCTTCAGGAACATGAAGATTCGGAGTAACTTTTTCACGTATCCGTTATTTAATTGTGAAGAACGAAATATTGCAGCTAGTGTCATATATTGAGGGGACAACTTTCGGGTAAAAATTACTTGCAAATGCTTAAGGTTAACAATATATAAGCTTCATTAGATGACCGGAGCCTTTAACCTCAGACATGTTAACTATAGGTTCCCTCACAAGATTAAATATTATAGCTAGCCATTTTACAGTTGTCTTAGGTGATTAGAATGTGTCATGCACCTCCAAGTGCATCTCAAGCAATACCAAACTATGAATAAGCTTATTTTGGTCAAAGTTAGCTCTGACCATTAATTCTCAATTTCAGGCGGAGCAGCTGTTTAAAGATGAGAGCATAGTGGCAGTGTATGATATGCTGGATAATTTTTGTGAATTCGTCGACATTCAACTATCGTATATCCGCAGGAACAGGTATGTTTCCCGTAACAAGAACGTCAGTCATTACAGATGCCAAACTATTTTCTTTGTATCTTCACTATGAACTGAAAATGAAATCTGTCCTGTAATTATGCTGGTTTAGGGACTGCCCTAATGATATCAACGAAGCAGTTTCAAGTCTGATATTTGCCTCTGCAAGATGTGCGGATCTTCCTGAGCTTCCTGCGATTCGGAAGCTCTTTGGGGAGCGTTATGGTCAGAGGTTCGCAACAACTGCCGTTGAATTACTTCCTGGGAATCTTGTCAACCGTGAGGTTCGCCATTGTAGTGCGGTATTGTTGATTTTCTTCAACCGATAAGGGTTTTATCATTGATTAACACTAAGTATTTGATAAATGTTGACAACAGATAAAAGAAAAGCTCTCCATAAAGTCAGTTTCAGATGATGTGAAGTGCAGGTTAATTGATGAAATTGCTCAAGATTATGGCCTGCAGCCAGAAATTTTGGCACTTGAATTCATTCCCGAAATACAACAGCAGGTAACTAGATATATTCCTTTAATTAATGTCTTGTTATCAGATTTTGATGTTATTTTGCCCACTTAGTCGAATCTCATGTGATATGTAATCACAGCTAAAAGAAATTAGTCGACATCAAGAACTGGACACAAATAATAGCAATTGCGACGGATCCCAAATGCAGACTTCAGATGCTAATGAGATAGAAGGAAAATTTATACAAGTTGATCCATTGGCAATGAGTGACAGTCGCTTGATCAGGCAAAGTCAGTCTTACTCCTACCCAAATTCTGATGCAATTTGTACTCCCCTTGATTCCTCTAAACAACCTTCACCAGATAAGATGGAGTCACCAGTTCAGATAAAAGCAGAGAAAGTAGAGAATTTTCCCCAAACGGATTCTCCCTTTGAATTGACAGTTGATACTACAGGTGTTGGAAAAAGCCAGAGAATCGGCTGGATTTGTACAACCACTTTGAAACATAGGGATGAAAGAAAAGCACCATCTTCCTCAGAAAGTTTGCCTCAGTTTCCTGAAGAAGCGGTTGTTTATCTTGATGACATAGAGGAGCTACAATCTTCAACGAAAAAAGGAGACTGCCAGGATCAGAGACTATTCAAGTTCAAGTCCCCCCTCCTGCCTATGCGAGGACCTGTCACGGATGGTTATGACGTTTGTGATGAAAGTTATGTGGATCATGATGAACCACAGGATGAAAAGCCAAGCTCAAGGACCTTTAGTAAGAGAAGAAATTCATATGAAAAAAGATCCCGGCGGAGGTCATTGTCTCTTGAAAGTTCAAGCATGCAGGATACTGACCATGAGACTTATTATGAGAAGCCGTGCAAGACGTCTCCAAGTCACAAGCATAAATCTAACCACTACAGAAAGCTTCAGAAGAAGACAACAATTGCAGAATGTGAACAATCAACTTATGTGCTCAAGAGACTGAAGCAACCTTGCTGCAAATATAATACTATGACATCATGCTGCAATTGCCGCTTCAACAGTGAAGTAAATATCTGCAGCCAGGATTATCCTTTTTACTTATGTCCTGGTGATGACAGGGAAGAACAGTTTCCTCCAAGGAATCAAAGGAGAGGGCTCAGAAATTCAGGACAATTTCCAATTTGTGATACGGAAGAAAACTTGGATGACCAGTTTTGCCATTGCCAATGTTCTGGTATCGGAGGATACAAGAACGAAACTGGATGTACCAAAATGGAAGAGATGACTCTTACACAGAATCTCAGGAGAAGAAGCTACGACAACAGTGCAAGTGTGTATGAAGTTTTCACCCTGCCCAAAATGGAAAAGGAGAAAACCTTAGGGAAAACGAAGGGATGTGACTCCCCCGGTAGCCTTGTTCCTTCTAACAGTTCCTTGCCTAGTGTGGTCAGTTCCCAGACAAGAAAAGAAAGAGTTCCTCCCTATCTGAGGGCCATGACAATGCCCCAAGAAAGGCCTAGAGAGAGTCTCAGGTACAGCATTCTGCGTTCCAATTCATTGTCCTTTCAAAACCCTAATCACGTTCATCCTAAGCTACCAGATTATGATGACTTAGCAGCTAAATTTATCGCTCTCAAGAAGGAGCGCCTGCTGTAGAAGCAGTGCTGAGGAAAGACAACGGGAGTACTGGCATGCGCGGCGCACAAGACCGGTTCTATTTTACTCCTAATATCTCTTGACTTCTTTTTTTTTTTTTGTTTTTTTATCCTGTTATAAGATATGATCATATGAAAAATTATTTGTTTTATTTAGAGCCAGGAAATAGTTATTTGTTCTTAGGCTAGCTTCCAATTGCTGAAAACGAAGCTAATAATGTCAAATTTTTGTGGATTTATCAGAGGATTACTTTCTATCTATACTGAATATATATGGGCTTAGGAGACTGCTCTTTGAGAGATATTAGTCCACATGCTTGGCACTAGACTTGGCCCTCGTGGATTGAGTCCAACCGACCCATAGCTTAAGTTTGACAGAATCTAACCCAATAAAGTTAAGGCTTTATCCCAACTCTTAATTGACAGCTATGATCCAATCATGTCCTCGAGACCGTCTACTAATATTGTTCTTTTTCCATTAAGAGGAAGCCCTTGGCCAACTCAAGTGGCATTTGGTCTTTTATTAGGAATTTGATAATAGGAAAAGTAACTGTCAGAAATATAATATTACAGTTTTGGTATTTATAAAAAAACATTATTTAAAATTTAAAGAAAATAATATTACAATTTTGATTAACTAACATTTTATTAAAAATGCAATAAAAATTTCCAAAATTTCTCTTATATATCAAAATGCAATACACTTGCATAATTTTTATAATTAAATTAATTAAGTTTTAAATAATTAAATTAATTAATTAAAATTAGTTTATAATTATATTAGCTAATTATTTAATTAATTAAATTAATTAATTACTTAATATTAATCACACATTTATGATTAATTATCGTTTTTAATTAATTCATATCTTGTTTATTTTAAAAATTATATATGATTTTATCAATTATATCATAATTAAACATTGCCAATGTATTTAATTGTTTTTTATTTTATTTAATTAAAAATACTAATTTATGGCACATCTATCCTCCCTGGGGTGTGAACATACTCTGCATTCTTTCTTTTCATGTTTTTTTCTCTAGTTCCTTCCTGCATCCAGGGTCAGAACGACGAGCTCTTCTTCTTCTTGTTTCTTTTCTGTTTTTTTCTCTCTTTCCTTCAGCACCCATCATCGGTATGAAGGGCTCTTCTTCCTTTTCTTCCTTTCTTTTTTTCTCTCCTTCCTCCTTATACCCATCACCAGAGTCAAATCACTCAGCCCGAAAGGGGTTTTTGACGTTTTGGTCTCATTTTACTTTCCCTCGGTCATGGGAAAGTAATATTCCCTCCAATCCAAGAGGGAATCACCTTCCCTCCCACAGTAGCAACTTGATATCCAAGTAAAGCTACATTCCCCGTAACTTAGTATACCAAACAGGGCATACTTTTTCTGTGAAGGGCATAAATTAAAGTCTCATTTCGTATAATCCTAAACACTAAAAATAAAATTTAAATAACTTTATTTTTTATTGATATGAGATTTATAATATTTTACCACACTCAATTACATGGACGAATTTATATTTGTTGTGACTCCACTTAATTAAAAAAAAATTTATTTATTGTATTATTTTTTAGAGTTTGTATATTTAATAATACTATGAACTCATTAATATTTTTACAATTTTGTAAGAATTGGGGCAAAAGAGAGATTTCATTAAAAATTTTATATATCAATAATATTAACTATTCTTTTTTCAAAAATAATAATTAAATATTATCAAAAAATAGATTTATCAAAAAATAATTTATATATTAATATTTAAATTTTATATGAAAAGACAAAAAGATTTCCTTCTATAACTTAAGATTTTATTAACAAAAAATCAAAACATAATCTATTCGCGCTCTTTAAAAATTCAAGTGACCTGCGGTGACTTTCCTCCTCTCGATCCTTGATGAGTTTTTCACTCTCTTAAAGCAACTCAATTAAGCTTCAATTGTAAGTAATTTTCAATCCAAGATAAGTTCTTAAATATTTTATATCTAAATATTTTTTGATTAATTTGATAGTTTGGATTTATAATTATAATCTTGAAATTATGAGTCTTTCTTTTTTGATTTATTTTGTAGGTATTGATTATTTAATTTTTGTATTTAACTTTATGTGGTTTGTGGATAGTTATATTTAGTTTTGATCTATGAATAAAAAATTATCATATTGTTAGTTGTTCAACCTGATAATTTATTATGCAAGATCATATTGTATTTAATTCTAATATTTTAGTTTATGCTAATGGTGGTAATTTTTAATAAGTTTTAATAATTTTAGATAAATAAGCAAAAAGAAAAGAAATTATCTCACAAGACTCCGATCTCAAGCCACAACAACAAAATTCTACTAATGATTGTACTCGACAATCTTCTAAATAAAGTTGTGTTGAATTTGATTTAAGTACTCTTATGACATATCCTAAATTAAAGAAAAAAATTTCTAAGTATCATCCTAATGGTAATGATGAAATTAGAATAGTATATTTGCAAAAAGGGCCATATCAACCTCGTGACCATAAGTTTTCTCAAAGAATTATTTGTGGGGTTCCTTGTCGATTTAATTCTTCTTGGTTTAATGACTATGGTAGTTCGTTAAAGTATAGCATATAAAAAGATTCTGCATTTTGCTTGTGTTGTTATTTATTCAAAAGTGAAATAAAAAAGCCAAGGGGAAGTGATTCTTTTGTAATTAAAGATTTCACAACTTAGAACAAAAAAAGAAAGATTAGATACTAATGTTGGCAATTGCAATAGTGCACATAATAAAGCTTTAATGGAAATGCCAAGACTTGATGAAGTAGAAACAACATATTGATGTAGCGCTTTGTAAGCAAACGGAACAAGTTAAAAAAGATTATCAAACTCACTTGATTGCATCTACGGATGGCATTAGGATTCTCTTATGCCAAGGGCTAGCTTTCTGAAGGCATGATGAATTTGAAAACTCAAAGAATAGAGAAAATTTTCTTAAGCTTTTGCAATTTTTAGCTAATCATAATGGTGAAGTAAAGCTGTCTTGGAACATTCTCACGAGAATCTCAAATTGGTGTCTCTTAAAATTTAAAAAGATATTGTGAATGCAGCTTCAAATGAGACCAAATTATCAATCATTAAAGATCTTAGAAGCGAATTGTTTTGGGATATTGGTTAATGAGGCTCAAGATGTACCGAGTAAAGAACAAATGGTTGTTGTCTTACGTTATGTAGATAAAAAAAGGCTTGGTAACAGAACGATTTCTTGGTATTGCTCATGTTACGAATGCAAGTACTACATCACTTAAAATAGCAACTAAAGCAGTGTTTTCTAAGCATGGGCTAAGTTTGTCAAAAGTTCATAAATAAGGCTTTGATGGAGCTAATAATATGCGAGGTGAATTCAATGGTTTGAAAACTTTAGTTATGAGAGGAAATGAATCAGCTTACTATATTCACTGCTTTGCTCATCAACTTCAATTAGCATTTGTAGTTATTACAAAAAAAAAGGTTGACAATACTGTATTTTTTAATATGGTTGGTAATTTGACCAATGTTGTTGGAGTTTCTTGCAATCATAGAGATATTTTAAAAGAGCAACAAGCGTCAAAGGTTAAAGAGGTATTAGAAAATGGTGAGTTTCAAAGCGGGCGAGGTTTAAATCAAGAAACAACTCTTAAAAGGGTAGGTGATACATGTTGGGTTTCTCAATATGGGACATTATTAAACTTGATTGGTATGTTTTCTTCTATAGTTAAAGTGCTTGAGTTCATTGGAGAAAATGGAAAAAAGACAAAGCAAAGAGCTTAGGCACATATTCTTCTTGATTTTTTACACTCATTTGAATTTGCCTTTACACTACACTTGATGACAAATGTTTTGGTGATCACTAATGAGCTATCTTTGGCTTTGCAAAGGAACGATTAAGACATTATAAATGTTATGACACTTGTTAAAGTGTCTAAATAACACTTGTAAATGATGAGAAGTGAAATATGGGAACATATATTAAGTGAAGTTCCTTCATTTTGCAATAAACATGATATAGTGATCCCAAATATGGATACCACATTTGTGCTTCGAGGAAGGTGAACATGTAAAGCTCTAGAAGTATCAAATTTTCATCATTATCATTTTGATACAATGAATGAAGTTTTAGATTTGCAACTTGAGCAGCTTAATAATCGTTTCACTGAATTGAACATGGAGCTATTTTAGTGTATTGCATGCATACAGCCTAGTAATTCATTAATTCTACCTTCAACAAAGAAAGATTTATTTGTATGGCTCAATTGTATCCTTTTGATTTTTCAACTGTGGATTTAGTAACATTTGAAAATTAACTTGAAAACTATATTACAAACTTGAGTTTGGATGAGGAATTGTTGAAGTTAATAGTATTAGTGATCTTGCAAGGAAGATGGTTGTGACAAATAGAAATACTGTGTATCTTTTAGTTTATTCACTAGTAAAACTTGCATTGATCTTACCAGTTGTAACAACGTCAGTTAAAAGAGCTTTTTTAGCAATGAAATTCATAATGCACAGGCTACACAATCAAATTAGTGACAAGTGGATGAATAATTATTCAGTGACATATATTGAAAAAGATGTATTTGATAATGTTTTTACTGATGCTATCATGCAATGTTTGCAAAATATGAAAAATCGTTGTGGACAATTATAGTTTTTTTATATATTTTTACTTTGAAGTATTAAATGAATGTATTGAATTTACATTTTTTTTAATTTAATGTTAAAACTTCTACTTTATGAATTTTAACATATTTATTTTTTTAATTGTTATTTTAATTATAACATTACTCAAGAAAATTTCTAAGCTTTCCTCTACCCAATTGTGCAACGCTCCCGTTGCATTAGCTCTTTATCCGTAGAAAAGAAAGACTCTTACACTAGTCCGAGTCCACTTCGACCCTTGTATCTCTCATGGAACTTTACATCAATGAAGATCTAGGTCTGGTTTGATACCAAATCTCACGAGTCGGAACTTAAGTCTAATCTCGACCTCGTATCTCTCATGGGGCTCCACATCAATGAAGATCTAGGTCTGGTTTGATACCAAATCTCACGGGCCGAAACTTAAGTCTAAACTTGTGCAGCCTTAAACTCTAAAAATAGAGTTTAAGTAAGCCTATAAATCATGAACTCGTGTTTTTAACTCAAAAAACATGTTTAATAAGTGATGAAATACACATATTTATATTCTCAAGACTTACCATATTTCTTACTTATGTGGGATCCGTGACTCTTCTCACTAATTAAATTCTCTTTTTGCTTTATGGA